CCAGAAGAATGCCTGCACCCGAACGTTTTTTTACGGGTAGCTGCACCCAGGGTGTAGACACCCTACGCCGATTGCGCAAGTTGCAGGGTTTGTTAATGATGACCGTGCCATCCAAAACAACAGATGTTGACCCAGGTCGTCCTTGTTTCCTGGCCAGAAACAAGACTCGCGAAAGACATGGACGATTTGAATTTGACGTCGCGCGTGTAATTCAACGTGACATCATGCCACGTAGGTTCGACGCATCGTGCGCCAAACGCTCAAAACGAACAGACAAACATACACGTGTATGTTGCCCATGCCCAATGCAATCACATCGGGCACCAACCAGCGTGATGTAAACACACGTCACGACTAATGGCTGTGGTAACATCGTCGCCAACGTCACACATCCTGGCCTGATTCGGAAACACAACTTCGCATGCACTCTACCCCGTGCCCAATTGAACACACCAGCATGAACTGACGAAGTCATCCGCGGAGGATATAAAAGTGGAGCAATTCCACTCGTCATTTAGAGCTCAATCTAATGTTCTTAAAACATCATGCCTCGCCTATACCGCCGCTCACAGCTTCCAGTCCACATCAAGACCGCCATCTGCGCACACCATGTGGCGAATTCCGTGCTGCGCCATGTCGATTTGGCCCGGTGGTGTTTCACTCGCTACGGTATTAGGCCCGACCGGTCTACTATTGGTCGGGTGTTGAAATCTGCCGATCGTTGGCGGCAGGCTAATCCCAACAACAACCAAGTCCGTGTTCGTGGCGGAGCACACCCCCAGCTCGAGCACGCCATGATTCGTTGGATCTGCAATGCTGGCCCCGCGGGTGTTCCGCTTACGCTCGCGACAATTCGGGACCATGTCGCGCTCATGGCCCGCGACATGAATCTGCCAGACACGTTCCAGTGCTCCGTGGGCTGGGTGCGCCGCGCTTTGAACCGCCACGACGTAAGGTGCATGCGAGCCGTCGGCGAGGCTGCCGACCAGGTCCTCGTTGCCGTCCGCACATGCAAGGAGAAGCTTCCGCAGCTTCTCATGCATCTTGCGGTTTCGCCAAAGAACACCTTCAACTTTGACGAAACCGCGTTGTGGATCTCGGCGCTGCCGCGCAAGACCTACGGGACCACGCGCGTCGCAGGGCGGAAGGTGGCGAAGGAGCGCTTGACGGTCGGCTTGCTCGTCAACGCCGACGGGAGTCACGTGTTCCGCCCGTTGGTGATCTCCAAGTCGGCGCGCCTTCGGGATTTCCGCCCCGACTACGACCCGAACGAGCTCTGCTACTGGCGGAACAATGCAAAGGGGTGGATGACGTCCGCGGTGCGTGTTTCCTCACACTTCATGTACTTGCTATCCGCCGACCACGTGATTCGTTGCAAAGCATGTTACTCATTTGTTTTTCTCCTCGTTGCCGTTACAAATTCCCCATTGCATCTTTTCACTCACTTCATCGAGCAGCTGAACGCTGCTATGTATGCGGAGGATCGCCACATTGTCATATACTTGACAATGCAAGCAGTCACGTACTCAAGACCGAGACAGCGACCTCGGAAGATCTTTTCCGCTTCCGCACGCGCTCGCTCAGTCACGTCCGCCTCGTTTTCCTGCCGCCGAACACGACTTGCTTCACCCAGCCCCTCGACAAAGGCCTCATCGCGATGATGAAGGCGAGGTACCGGCAGCATTGGCTCCGGGCTTACACGGCGGCGTGGAACGCGGCAGGCTCTACCGCGGAGATGGCGCGCTTCAAGCCCAATCTTCGCAACGTCGTCGCCTGGCTGTCGGATGCCTGGATGAACGTCGGCGCGCGCACCATCCAGCGCACCTGGTGGTGCACCGGCTGCCTCCCTCTTGCGTGGGCGATGTCCATGCCTCACGTTGATCACGCCGCCGCGAACGGGAGCAACGGCGGGAACGCGGGGACCGACATCGACCTCGATGAGGAGATCGGCGACGTGGGCGTCCTCATCGACCGCCTCGCGCTCGGCCCGTCCGCCATGCCGGCCGCCGAGTTCTTCGCCATCGACGAGCATAAGCCGACGTGCGCGGAGCCGGGCGAGGACCCCTTGTCGCACGAGCCGACTATCGCGAACGCGGCGGACACGTGGGAGGCGCCGTCCACCATGCAGGAGGTTTACGAGGACGACAACCTTGCAACCCGTGAGGCTCGGCGCACGGCCCGCGCGGCAAGCGAAATGCTGATCAGCTACGCGCGCGCGATCTGCATCTCACCGCGCGATCTGTGGGCGCTCTTCGACATCCGTAACCCGATCATCGTGTCGCGCATGGAGCGCGCAAGTTCGCTTTCCAGCCTCAACAACCCTCCGCCTCCGGCACCGGTGCCAGCCGCCACGGCCGGGGCCGCGACTACTGCTCGCCGCGGCCGTGTGTTGCCTGCGTGGATGACTCAGCCACCCTCGACCCGTGAGCAGCTGATGGAGGGTGGCGTCACTGCCGTGATGAGCGGCTACGTTAACGCCGCTGAGTGGGTTCGTATGTGAGTGGAGTTGTGACTCCACCGAGCAGCTGAACTTGATTCCCTGCTTATCGCTTGTGTGCAACTCGTGCATAACATGTGCTGGTGTGTTAGTTGAGTTCTCTGCATCACAGGTGTCTGCATGGTATTGGCCTGGGAGATAGTGGGGCTGTTTTTTACAATTTGAGAGACATTATGTAATGAGATGGGAGTACAAGTGTATGGGAGAGTGGTAACAGCACAGTACACGGAAAGTACAAATCGGGCAATCGAGCATTGTTCTACAAACAACAAACGGGTTACTATCCGTGCACCTTATAAACACTCTGTAGCCGTGGCGAAGTGTGTGAACATTGCCGAAATGGTGAAAGCAGTTAAGAGCCCTTTTCACAACCCGAAGTTGGGGGACTCAAACGCGCATTAAGTGTACAGAGAAACATTGATTCAAAGTACAGAACAGTACCAACTGGGGTGAGGGGAGAGTGAGGGAGGCCCACAGGGGGCAGCGGAAAGAGTGTACAGATTCAAACAAATACAAACGGTAAAAGCCCCCATCCTGAAGTGGCCCAGTCATGTGAGATGGGACTTCCGAAGGGAGAGGTTTACGGGGTCAAACCCCAGTGCGGGCGAGTTCTGCCAGCCCCCCAGAAAGGGGTTTCGCACTGCTCTTCTGGGAGTGGATATATCCCTACCTCGATACCCAGCGAGGCGTGTAAATAAGTGGGTAGGCGGATTACGATCGACAGCCGGGGGTAACCCAAAGGGGGCTCTCCCCCCTCCTTTACCTTTGCAACCGGTAAAAGCCCCCGATTCGACGACAGTCCTTCGGAGGCTGCCCGGCGGTTACTTCTAGCACTCGAACCTTCCGAACGGCACTGGGAAATGCATTGCCCAACTACGGGCGCCTCCCAGAACAGCGAGTATACGCTGTATGGGACTGCTCAACTTCTCACCTCTCCTTCCGCTCCCCTCGTCTGACCTTTTTTGCTGGGACTACCAGCAACGGTTTTTAAACAAGAGTAAGAGATTAGTTGGAAACAAGTGACTTTCGATGCCAGGAGCCACGTGGGGGGTCGGATAGGCTAAGAGATGATCACACATCCAGGATTATGCTGTTCGTACCGAAGCAGGCAACGCAACGCAGAGTCTCGTTCGCTTGCAATAGCGCGAAGGTGTGGAATACACCGAATTGATGATAAGAAGCTCGCTTCTCATGTTCACATTTCGATTTTGTCTTGGCTGGAGCGTCGAAATGACGCAAGTTGGGCCGAACCAAGGTAAGAGATGAGATGTGCGATGAGATGCGATGCGATGAGATGCGATGCGATGAGTTTACTCCAGCGAGAACGGGGCAGAGCTGCTGTAGACTAGAGCAGCGGTCGCACGCGACGTCATAATCGCCACTATTCGTTAGCGGTTCGCGAAACGATGGGTACCACTCGCGGGCCTGCGACGCCTTGCGACGGTCGGGTTGAGGAGGGCGGCGCGCGTGTCTGTAAGCCATACCCGGAGGATCCGGACGGCCAGGCAGGCATCAATGATAGCAACCTGGGGAAAGACGAGGCTCTGGGAGTGATAAGCGGAGAGGGGGATGATGAGCCGGAACGAGAGGGAAGGGAGAGGGGAACACGCCAAGAGTCAGAGTGTGGGGGACAGGAAGAGGTCGGGGGAGGGGGAAGGCGGAAAGGAGGGGAGGGGAGGGGGAAGGATAGGGGGAGAGAGGGACGCGCGGGAAGCATAGAGGGGAAGGCGAGAGAGTTGGAGGTGCAGAAGAGAGTTTCTGACTCGCCCCGGCCGCGCAACACGCTTCCACAAGTTTCGGATACATCTCAGAAGGTTGCTGACTCACCTCGCGTGAAGGACAACACGCGCTCACACGTGTCAGATTTGTCTCACAAGATAGCTCACTCTCCTGTCGCACAAGGCACGCCTCGAAGGAAGGGCCGCGCGGGGGAAACGTCACTTGGCCCGGGAACGGAGGGGACTGGGGGGTCGATGGTGAGAGCGGGGGCGGAAGAGCGGAGGGAGCAGGGAAAAGGGGAGGCGACGGGGATAAAGGATCGGGAGAGCAAGAGCAGGAAAGGGGTGTCTAGAGGAGTAAGGAATGGTATTACCAGCATTGGTACCAGCACCGGCACCAGCACCGGCACCAGCACAGGTAGCACCGCTGGCATTATCAATAACAGCAGCGGCAGCAGCAGCAACAGCGTGATTGATAATGTAATGAGCGGCACTAGCAGCAGCAATGCAGAGCGGAGCAGCAAGAGCAGGAGCGGCAGCAGAAGCAGCATGGGTAGGAGCAAGAGTTGCGCTGTTGGGATGATAAACGGCGAGAGGAAGGGGAGGGGAGAGAAGCAGCCTTCACTGCAGGGGGATGGGGATGCAGAAGAGGGAGCAGGAAGGGGAGCGGGGGAGGTAGCAGGAGAGGGACCAGAGGAGCCTCAAAGGGAAGGGACCGCTGGAGGTAGGCCAGGAGGAGCCGGAGGTCAGGCGGAGGGGATGGACCAGGAGCAACATCAACGGCAGCAGCAGCAGCAGCAGCAGCAGCAGCAGCAGCAGCAGCAGTGCGTGACTGATAATTTGACTAATGCCAATGCTGCTCCCCAGCTTCTGAGAAGCGCCCCTGTGCGGTGCTCTCTCCTCTCCTCCGCCTCCCTCTCCTCCCCGCTTCCGTCTCATACTCAATTCCTGAGTGCTGATTCAGCTTCCGCGCTCGCTTCCCCTGCTGCAGCAGCGGGGACTAAAGCAGGAGTGAGTAAAGGGGGAGTGACTAAAGGCGGAGTGACCAAGGCGAAAGTGACCAAATCAGTAGGCGCTACAGCTGTTACTGCCACTCGTTTGAGCCAATCCCCCCATGTGACCAGCGACGGTCTTTCAACAGGAAACAGCTCCAACATGCACCCACTGGCCTCAAATCCCCACACCCAAGCCCTCTCGCACCCCCACTCCCCTTCACGGAACGTCAGCAGCAGCAGGAGCAGGGGCGGGAGGGGCGGGAGGGGCGGGAGCAGGGCAGAGGGTGATCGGCGTGTTAAGACAGCGAGCAGCGGCAGCAGCAGCAGCAAAAGAGCAGGCAGTCAGAAGCAAAGGCGCAGTGCAACATCCTTCTCTGGTTCTGCTGCTACTGCTACAAGTGCTGCTGCCGCGACCGCTGCTGCGGCTGCTGCTCCTGCTGTTGCCACTGCTGCTGCTGCTGCTGCTGCTGCTGCTGCTGCTGCTGCTGCTGCTGCTGCTGCTGCTGCTGCTGCTGCTGCTGCTGCTGCTGCTGCTGCGGGCAGGGAAGTTGGGGTTGGGAACATGGGTCTAGCGAACCAGGTGCATGTGGTAGAGATGGAAACAGAAGGGCTGGGCGGGAGAGAGGCCCCCTGGGAAGGAGGCCATTATCCGAGTTATGATGGTGCTACTGGTGATTATTCTGCTGCTGCTGTTGCTGCTGCTGCTGCTGCTGCTGCTGATGATGATGATGATGCATTCAGCGATGTGTTTGATGATGACGTGGTGGAGAAAGGCCGTGTGGTGGTGCGGGGCGATGCGGACGTGCTCATTCTGGACTCATGCAGTGAATGGGGCGACGGGGATGTGGACGGGAATGGGGATGGGTATGGGTATGGGTATGGGTATGGGGCTGGGGATGGGGATGGGGATGGGGATGGGGATGGGGATGGGAGTGGATATGGATGTGGGAATGGGGCTGAGGAACGGAGTTTTGAGCCGGTGCAGGAGGAGGAGTCTCTTTCCTGTGTGGTAGGTCCAGGCATTGCAGACGTGCTTCTTGTGGACTGTTGCGCTGACGGAGGCGACAGTTGTGATGAGGAAGGCGGTCGCCTCCAGGGAGGAGGAGGCTGTGCTGATTGGGAGCACTCTGGTGCGGTGAGCAGCGGTTTGGATGGTTGTGGTGGTGGCGACGGGGAGGAGGAGGGGGAAGGGGAGGGAGGGGGAGGGTTGGGAGGAGGGGTGGGGTGGGGGAAGGGGAATGGGATGTGTATGGAGGCAGGTATGGAGGCAGGTATGGAGGCAGGTATGGAGGCAGGTATGGAGCAAGGCATGGAAGCAGGCTGGGAGGAACGCAAGGACATAGGCTGGGATGCAGAGATTCATGGAAATGCAGTGTTAGAGGGTGGAAATGTGAGGGCTCTAGTGGCACGATACGGGCAGATAGAAACACGTGGGGAAAAAGCAGCAGCACCAGCACCAGCAGCAGCTGCAGCAGCAGCAGCAGCAGTGGCAGCAGCAGCAGCAGCAGCATCTCACAAGGCTTTAGCCCAGCGGTGGCAGTCGCTTCGCATTCACGTTCCAAGCATGTCTAGCATCGCTCCTTCCTCCCTCGCCTCCCGGTCCCCCTCTCCTTCCCCGTCCTCTCGCTCCACTGCTGCTGCTGCTCCTCCCTTCCCTCACTCTGCCTCTATCGCTGCCTCTTCTCCCCTCCCTCCCTCGGCTTCCTACCCTTCCTCTCCTTCCTCCTCTATGTTTCTTCCCTCTCCGATCGTCTCTCCTTCCTCCCACTCCTCCTACTCCGCCAATTTCTCCTCCCCTTCCTCGGCCCTATCCACATCCCGCCACCGCCCGAAATCCTCTTCCCTTGCTGCTGCCGCCACCATCGCTTCAGCAAAGGCCGCAGCGGCGGCAGCAGCAAGAGGAGAAGCAGCAAGAGGAGAAGCAGCAAGAGGACAAGCAGCTAGACAGGAAGACGCGTCAGCAGCGCCTATCCCAAGCACGAAGTCCTTCCCCCAACCTTCCTCCTCTGGCCCTTTCTCTCCAGTCGTCTTCTCCCCTGCTTCCTCTGCCAGCTGTCGCGCCGTGGTTGGTGGCAGGAATGCTTTCGCAGGTGCAGGTGCAAGTGGTGCCGTTTTTGTTGATGCATCTGGTGGTGGTGCTGCTGCAGCAGCTGCTGCTGCTGCTGCTGCTGCTCGTGGTGGTGGTGGCGCAGGGCGGTCTAGATCCAGCTGTAGCCAGGATGTAGCCGGATGGGAAGACATCTTGTCAGAAGATCCGGCAGTGCCTGGGGAAATGGGTGGCGTGGGGGAG